TTAATAGAAGCAAAGACAAAAACCACTTGATCATCTCAATAGATGCAGAAAAAGCCTTCAACAAGATCCAACACACTTCATGATAAAAGCTCTAAGAAAACTAGGAATAGAAGGAATGTACCTCAACATTGTAAAGGCTATTTATGACAAACCTACAGCCAACATCATACTTAATGGTGAAAAACTGAAACCATTTCCCCTAAAATCAGGAATGAGACAAGGGTGCCCACTATCCCCACTCCTATTCAACATAGTACTGGAATTCCTAGCCAGAGCAATTAGGCAAGAAGAAGAAATAAAAGGAATACAAATAGGTAAAGAAACTGTCAAAATATCCTCATTTGTAGATGATATATATGATCCTATACCTTAGAGACCCAAAAAACTCCACCCAAAAACTCTTAGACACCATAAACAGCTACAGTATGGTGGCAGGATACAAAATCAACCTACAAAAATCATTAGCTTTTCTATACACCAATAGCAAACAAACTGAGAAGGAATATATGGAAATAATTCCATTCACAATAGTCCCCCCAAAAATCAAATACCTAAGAGTAAATTTAACAAAAGATGTGAATGAACTCTACAAGGAGAATTACATACTCTTGAAGAGAGAGACTGAGGAAGATTACAGAAGATGGAAAGATCTCCTGTGCTCATGGATTGGTAGAATCAACATAGTAAAAATGGCTATACTACCGAAAGCAGTCTACATGTTTAATGCAATTCCCATCAAAATGCCAATGACTTTCACCACAGAAATAGAAAAATCTACTCTAAAGTTCATTTGGAAACACAAGAGACCGCAAATAGGCAAGGCAATACTCAGCAAAAAAGGCACTGCTAGAGGTATCACAACACCCAATTTTCAAGCTATATTACAAAGCAATTGCAATAAAAACAGCATGGTACTGGCTTAAAAACAGACATGAGGACCAGTGGAACAGAATAGAAGGTCCAGATATGAATCCATACAACTATACCCACCTCATTTTTGACAAAGGTGCCAAAAATATACGATGGAGAAAAGACAGCCTCTTCAACAAATATTGCTGGGAAAAGTGGTTGTCCATCTGCAAGAAACTGAAACTAGATCCATGTTTATCACCCTGTACTAGTATCAACTCAAAATGGATCAGGACCTAAATATCAGACCTGAAACTCTGAAGTTACTAAAGGAAGGAGCAGGAAACACTCTGGAACTAATAGGTATAGGCAAGGACTTCCTCAACACAACCCCAGCAGCCCAGCAACTAAGAGAAAGGATGGACAAATGGGGCTTCATAAAATTAAAAAGCTTCTGCACATCAAAAGAAATGGTTTCTACAACAAGGGGATTGGACTATGAGCACATGATAAAAGCAAGAGCACACAAGGGAGGGGTGAGGATAGGTAAGACACCTAAAAAACTAGCTAGCATTTGTTGCCCTTAACGCAGAGAAACTAAAGCAGATACCTTAAAGCAACTGAGGCCAATAGGAAAAGGGGAACAGGTACTAGAGAAAAGGTTAGATCAAAAAGAATTAACCTAGAAGGTAACACTCACGCACAGGAAATCAATGTGAGTCAACTCCCTGTATAGCTATCCTTATCTCAAACAGTAAAAACCCTTGTTCCTTCCTATTATTGCTTATACTCTCTCTACAACAAAATTAGAAATAAGGGCAAAATAGTTTCTGCTGGGTATTGAGGTGGGGGAGAGGGAGGGGGCGGAGTGGGTGGTAAGGGAGGGGGTGGGGGCAGGGGGGAGAAATGAACCAAGCCTTGTATGCACATATGAATAATAAAAGAAAAATGAAAAAAAAAAAAGAAATGGTTTCTAAACTGAAGAGACCACCCACAGAGTGGGAGAAAAAATTTGCCAGCTACACATCAGACAAAGGACTGATAACCAGAATATACAGGTGAACCAATTAAAAAATGGGCAACTGAACTTAATAGAACTTTCTCAAAAGAAGAAATTCAAATGGCCAAAAAACACATGAAAAAATGCTCACCATCTCTAGCCATAAAGGAAATGCAAATTAAAACCACACTAAGATTCCACCTCACCCCTGTTAGAATAGCCATCATGAAAAACACCACCAACAACATGTGTTGGTGAGGATGTGGGGAAAAAGGAACCTTCTTATACTGCTGGTGGGAATGCAAGCTGGTACAACCACTCTGGAAAAAAATTTGGAGGCTTTTTAAAAATCTAAACATAGATCTGCCATATGATCCAGCAATCTCACTCCTGGGGATATACCCAAAGAAATACAACACAGATTACTCCAGAGGCACCTGTACACCCATGTTTTTGTGGCACTGTTCACAATAGCCAAGTTATGGAAACAACCAAGATGCCCCACTACTGATGAATGGATCATGAAAATGTGGTACTTGTACACAATGGAATTTTACTCAGCCATGAAGAAGAATGAAATCTTATCATTTGCAGATAAATGGATGGAACTAGAGAACATCATTCTGAGTGAGGTCATCCAAACTCAGAAGACCCAAAATCATATGTTCTCCCTCATATGCAGACTTTAGATCTAGGGCAAATGCAGCAATGTGGTTGGACTTGGATCACATGATAAGGGGAGAGCACATTTGGGTGATATAGAAATAGGCAGAAAACCCAAAACATGAAAACATTTGATGTCCCCACTCCAGAGGAGCTAATATAGAAACCTTAAAGCAACAGAGGTTATCATGAGAAGGGGATCAGTAACCAGGGTAAAGATCAGTTAGAGATGAATCACCATGGGTCATAACACGTGTACATGAAAGCAATGCTAGAAATATTTCTGTATAGCTATCCTCAACTCGACTAGCAAAAATGCTTTGTCTTCCTTATTAGGCATGTCTCTTTTCTTCAACAAAACTAGTGATAAAGGCAGAATAGGACCTGCCTGGCTGGAACTGAGGGAGGAAGGGGGAAAAGGGTGAAGGAGGGGGCAGGGGGGAGAAATGACCCAAACAATGTATGCACATGTGAATAAAAGAATAAAAAAAACCCCTCCAAAAACCAAAACAACAACAACAATAACAAAAGAAAGGAATAACCATGTGATGGAACAAATGATAATAACCAGAAAAGAAATGCGAACAGTGAAAATTTTCTGTTGAAGTCTACTATAATCATTCCTACAAAATAAATAAGTGTATAAAAAATGGAAAAAGGAAGAGAGAAGAACTCTATATATTAGTTCAAAGCATTAATGAATGAATAACAAAAATGACCAGATTATTCTCAGGAACCCCGTAAGTCTATAGAGGAAAAAGATGTTTAAACAGATATGTACCAATAGTAAGGGTGTGTCATTTTGGCTGTTTGGTGGCTTAGTACTAAAAGATGAATTAAGAGCTCAGCATCCCAACAAGGGACAGGATGCAGGGATGACATTCTAGGAAGAGGGGTAGCATTGGGAAAGGCATGGAGGTGTGAGGATGCCTGGAAGATCCAAGCACACCGAGTCCTTTGGTCTTGCAGACCCAAGAGTCCGTGAGTGACAGGGACAGGCAGTGGAGATGATATTAGAGAGAAAGGATGGGGCCCACTCCTAAAGGGTTTTGTACAGGACAGGTGGCAGTATGGGGCTAGAATGGTTATCATGGTAACGGGAGAGGCAGAAAGACCCAGAAGAGCTAAGTGGCAGTTTAGGGACAGAAAGCAAAACATAGTGTTCAGACAGGCAGCATTTGGTGCAGGCTTCCCTCAGAGCATCAGGTATTAAGCCTGGAGTCTTAGCTTTTGCTAGACTTGGGTTTATTTTAAAAATATACTCTAGGAGCCCAGGAGATGCACTGTACATGTGGCACAGTGTCTGCTGAGACAAAGTTTTTTTTGTGTTTTTGTTGATGGTGGTATGAGTTTGAACTAGTACTTGAGCCACTCTCCCAGTCCTTTTTGCTTTAGCTCCACCTCCCACATAGCTGGGATAATTGGTCTTTGCACTCCTGGCCGAACACAGGTGCTTTTAAAACTGCTGCTCCACAAATGCCCTTTAGGAAAGGTGGTCCTAAGTCCCAGCAAGCTGGGCTTCAGTCAGACTGTCTGAGAAAGTGTATGAATGGGGTTCCCTTTCACTCTTAAACATATGGTTTTGATGGCAAATTATTTGGCAGCCCTATCTTTGAAAGTAATGTCACTGGAATGGGCCCTTGGTGGTTCCTAGTTCTGTGCATGGAATCTTCAGTATGCAAAGGATGGGAAGAACTCATCGACCTCATTTCTGCCACAACTAACCCATTGCTCTATGCCCCACTCTGGAAAAATTCCCCTGAATGTCTCTGGAAGAATCACAGGTATGCAACATTGAGTCATAGTGAAAACAGTGTTGGAATGATACCCTTGAAAACTGGATTCTACTCTAGCTCTGCTCGCAGGCCAGCTGGGCAATTCTTCCACCCCTCTGGGCCTCAGAGTCCTCATCTGTGAAGCAAGAGTATGCAGTCAGACGGTCCCAGCTCTAAGTAACTGCCAAACAGCCCATTTTCCGGTAGCCATGAACACTTTCAGGAATTCCCATCTTCCCCTGATTATCAGGGCCAACCCCAGCTGGGGGCAGAAAGCACTGCTCAAACCACAGTTTCTGCCTCTGCTCCGGGTGTGACCACGCATCGGCATTTATTTGTAGATATAGACATAGACAATCCTGACTTAGACACCAGCTAAACACTGGCAGAATAAAGTTGCACCCAATCAGTTCACCTTATTACCTATTACCTACCTTATTACCTATTACCTATTATTTATTATTATTATTATTATTATATGTATAATATTATTATTATATTATATATATATTATTTATTATTATTATCTATTATATTATTATTACCTATTATTACTTATTACCTTATTACCTACCTAAAAGGGCTGTGAACTTTGGCAAACCTTGCTCCAACCCACTCCGCTCCAGCTGCCTCCAAGCGAGGGAGGGGATCATAGGCTTCTTGGGCTAAAGGCTTCACGTCTGTTTAATTTTTATTAGTATGAAGATTTTTACCTTGGATCCCTCCTCCCAGCCCTTCTTGGGCCCGGGCACGCGTCTCTGGTCCTCGGCGGGCTGGGACTGTCCACAGCCCATTCTGCGCCGGGCGCCTCCTCCACGCGCCCCGCTCCCGCGCCCCGCTCCCGCGCCCCGCTCCCGCGCCCCGCTCCTCTCCACCTCCCGCGCTACAGGCTCAGCTGGAAGCGGTCCGCATCTTGGTAGTTGCCAGGAACTGTTGCCACAATAAACCGCGTCACCAGGACCTGGGACCTGTGTTTGTAACGGAAAACTATGAGATCCTCTAAATCACACCTAGGAAATGCTAATTGCAACTCTCTCCAAGAGCGAGTCTGGACGAGTTGGTTTAAAATCACACTACAGTCTAAGCATCCTGCATGGGCCTCTTATTGTTCTTTGTAAGGTCCGGTAGGACACGGCCTGGTCCAGCTGTTTTCAGACGCTCTGGGGACAGTAGAAGACAGTGTGGTTGGCGACTTAGAGGTCACAGACCCTTCTTGAGTGCACGTGACCAGCATAGCACCAGAAGGCAGTGTCACACAAGGACCTCAGAAAGAATGGTCACACAAACAAATCCCCACACAATGAAGACGATCAGACCTAAAGGACCATAAATAGATCAGCAGCTGCTAAATGGGCCAAACAAATCATTTTTATGGGAGATGCATTTTATGAGTTGCAAGGAAAGAACACGGATATGCATATTAGACTTAAATACTATCAGTGTATGCGTTCAGAAAGGCAGAACAAGACTTCAAATGGGCAACAAATTTGTCTTTCCCCATTTATTCCTTTTTATCCTATTCTCAACAGCTTTGTGTGTGTGTGTGTGTGTGTGTGTGTGTGTGAGGATTAATAAAAGTTGCTTAACAGGTTCTTAGAGATCTGCCAGCCCTTCATTTTGCAGGCTGCAAATTTAGGCTCAGAGAAGCTGAGTGACTTTCCCAAGGTCACAAGGGAGCTAGTTATTGAGGGAGCTGTGATGAGGGATCAGGTGGCCTGACTCAGTCCCTCAGTGCATCCAAACAACAGGAAAATACAAGTAAGGATTCTTGCAAATATAAATGTTCGGGATCCTTCCAAGGAAAGGAACGGTCACCTCTATTATAAGAAGTTGATTACTGGATGGCATGTAAAGTCATTCCACTGTCTCTGCCTTACAGTGTTTCGGGAAATGGCAAGGGAAACAAAGTCACCAGGACCAATTTGCAGGAAGCAGGAATTTTATGATGCTAGCAGACTCAGAGGAGATAAGTTCTAAAAGCCCTGAGCCCCCATCAGTGTCAGGAGATGATTTATATACCACCCCCAGGTGGTTTATGTAACCAGGGGGGTTTTGCAGTATATGGTTCACAGGTGGTCAGAAAGACAAGTCAGTTAAAGAGAAACAAGTTGGTTACAGAGTTTCCTCCCAACCCCCCTACAAAATGTGGTCACAGTCACAGGAAACCTTGCAGAATCTAGCTGAAGGTCTGTGACACTTTTGAGCTTGCAGAAAGCTGCTTGTAGCCCCCAGAGTAGGGAATTCAAGGCAAATTCTAGACACACAGTAAATCCCAGAAAAATAGCCCCGTTGACTCCAACAACAGCTCCAATGATGTTGCTGGTCAGTTTTCCTTTTACTAAAATTGAGGAAGAGGGCTAGAGGAGTGGCTCAAGCAGAAAGAGTGCCTAGCAAGTTTGAGGCCCTGAGTTAAAATCCCAGTGCTGCAAAAAAAATTGAGGAGGAGGGGATGAAACTCAAGTCAAAGTATTATAATTCCAGGACAACAAACATTAAGGATTTATGAAGGAAAAATTGAAAGGAGGCTCAAAGAGTGTTTGAGGAACATCTCTGAAGGTATTGAACATGGGCACAATAAGTCACAGTAAATGTTCCAAATGGAAACTGCAAAATTCTCAACTAGAATAATCCAGTGCAAAGGACCTGGATAAAATGCTCTTGGGAGAGTTTAATGGATGTTTGAAAAATTGTAAGAGTGAAATGCTACCCACTGTTTTTTCCTTTAAGGTTATCTGTGAATAGAAGTCTGCAGGGAATGAATGGGGTAGGACCAAAACAGGTTATGCAAACATCTTTTGGAGCATCCTAGGACTCCAGTTCAAAGCTGTAAATGCCCCTTTTCTAGGGCTGTGCTAGGATCAGCCAGTACTGGCTCTATTTAGACCCATTTGTTAAACACAGCCATTATTAAAATTAAATTAATAAACTTATAATTAAGTTAATTATGTTAAAGCAACAGTAATAAATACAACTACACTTTGAGCAGCAGTGTACAATACCTGTGAATATTAAATTATCACTTTGAAAGACAGAAAAGAAAAAGGAAAAATGGAAAGAAGGAGAAATAAGTGAGGAGAGAAATGAAGGGGAAGAGCAAAGATGAAGTCTATTAGATAGCTAATCAAGTATAGAAGAAAAAGATACTGGCCCCATTTTATTCAGGCTTCTTCAGTCTAGGAAGCCCTTTATGCATAAAATTGTAAGTGGGCATCTTGATGCTGCACCTCCTTCTTGTCCTTTTTCCTTGGTTGAGAAGGGATCTTTGTAAGTCAGGTGGTAGAGAAAAGAAAATCCTTACTTGTCATTACCCAAGTTCTGGAGACAATGTTGCCCCTTTCTTTCTTTTTTGATATGAAGTTGACCTTGTTGGGAAGGAGGGGACGCCAGAGAGCAGAGAGATCTCTTAGCAGGACTTGTAGGTTGGTATATTAGGCAGGAACAAAGGGCTTCAAATGCCACATGTCACACTTTCCAATATCAGTTCAGATTCTGAGCTTTTCTTAGGCAAAGGAAAATCATGCAGAGAAATCAGCTCTGCTTCTTACCCCAATTTTACTAGCATTCTTCCAATAAATAGAAAAGTCATGTGCTGACATTCATTCCAAACAGCTCCACATTAGTACACAACAGCTAACATCCTGAGTGCTTGCTAAGGATGAGGTAAGTAAGAGAAGCTGATGGCTATGTTTGCATTTCTGTTTTATTCATCCATTATTGTTTTAAACAAGGGATAGAGAACTGTGACCCAGTGCCAAATCTGCCTACTACTTGCCTTTCTGTGAACACACAAATTAAGAATGAATTTTATGTTTTTAAATGACTAAAACACAATCAAAAGAATATTATTTAGTGATTTGAAGAAGTTCATGAAATTTAGATTTCGGCGTTGATAAATAAAGTCTTATTGGAACACTGACCCTCTGGTCTGTTTACATATTATCTATGGTGCTTTTGTGTTACCATTAGCAGAGTTGAGTAGTTGGGACAGAGATCAGAGGGTCTACAAAGCTTAAAATATTTATCATCTAGCCTGTTATGGAAAATACTTGCTGATCCCTGATTTTAAGTGATAAAGTAATTCCCACAAAGCCAATAAATAACTACATGGGATCAGAATGGCCTGAAAAAGTTTGTGCTGCTTTCAGAAGTGGATCCCCACCCCTGGGGAATGACTGACACATGGGAGGAGTTTATCTCATTAAGTAGCAGAATTCTCAGGCCTGCAAAACATTTTAAGTGGCTCCCTTTAGCTGATCATACCCTCCCATGCTTCGCTAGAACACCCCGTTCAACAAGAGGGCTATCGAATGTAGAACAAAACCTTGCAGCACAGTAGAGACTAGTGTTGGGGGGAGGGGGCGTCATAGTGTCAGAAATAAAGAAAAGAAAGAACCAGGTTGTAAGGTACAGGGCTGCAGTTTGATTATCATTTTAAATTCAGAGACCTACTCCAATTATTTTTTATTGGTACTGGGGTTTGAACCAAGGACCTCATGTTTTTTAGGCAGGCACTTTACCACTTGAGCTACTCTATCAGTCCCCTAATCCTAATTTTTAAAGTCACATATTGTTCCCATTTTTTGTGTCCATTTGTTACACATTTCAACCTCATTATGGGTTTTCTGGAAAACAGTCCTCCAATCACATACACATTGTATTGCTCGGATCTGAAGTTTGTACCTCAGCAATCTGAAACACCAAACACATTTAGAAGGCTTTCAGATCTGAACAGTTGCATGACTGGAGAAAAACTGTGCCAGAATATTGTCATTAAGGAACACATGCATACAACAACGATATATTTGCATAATCAAGATTTTTGCAAAGCGTGTGGCCAAACACTTGTGATAACTCCAGTTGCATGACTTAATGGAGCTGCCCCCAAAATCCAGAGTGCAAGCATCTTTTAGTTATCCCTTTAAGGGACTTAGTATGACAGACTCTTGCAGAGAACAACCAGAGCAAATAAGTAAGCCCACAAACAGAGGAACAATTGTTTGCTGAACCTTGGCATTAGGCCAACAATCTTGATGTTTGCTCATTCAACACAAATGGGTAAACAACAGAGAGAAAACACCAATCTCTGGGGTAATCATTCAGAGAATGCCTGCTTCCCGGGAAAGCTAGCTGTAATAATCTTATAGAATTATAAAACTTCCATTGACATCTATACTTACGAGTCAGTTTAGATATTAATATAGATCTAACAGTGCAGTGAGAGTTTAATGGAGACATGTAAAAGAAGTCAACCTTACTGAATGGCAGCTAGAAAGGCGAGCTTGCTTTTTAGAAAACTGTAACAACTCAAAGTTACACATGGCAATTTTCACACACTGATATTCTCACAATTAAAGAAAAGTAATATTTAAATGATTTTCACTGCTTCCAATTTTGGCAGTACGTGGGCACAAAGCATTGAGACTTTTCACATTACTGGTGTGATTTTTTCCGTGTGGCCCTGAACATATTGTTTGATGTTCTAGGGGTGTTTGACTGTTTGAAAAAAAAAAAAAAAAACTGGGAAAGAACAAAGTTCTCTAAGAGACTTAGAATTTTTTCTTTCTTTCTTTCTTTTTTTTTTTTTTTTCCTGTAGACTGCAACAGAAAGAATGCTGGGCCAACTTGCCCATTCTGATCCCAGCTCTGCTCTGGGCTTGTGGAATGGCTTTAAGGAAGTCATTTAATTTCTGGGGGCGGGCCCCTCACTCTTCAGATGAAGGAACTGGACAGGGAGAGGCTTGATATTTAATAGCTCTGGTTCTCAAAGTGAAGCTTAGCACATCTGTTCTGGAAG